CGCTCTTTACAACACAGCCTTCAGCCTAAGGCAAAGGACATGCATGTGTCTTATCAACCCAACAAGACACAGTGGGAATGCACCTATTTCAGCAAGGAGCACTTTCAAAATCACAGGCATGCTAGCGCTCCCCCAAAACAGCCCATCCACGCGAGAACAGGATGCTCGGGAAGAGGAAGAGCAGGAAGCTGGGAGTATGGCAGAGTGGGGCTGAGGTCGAGGAGAGTGACACGAGCATCACCCACTAAGGCGGCTTTTACTGCTGGGGGGCTGGTTGTTCAGGGAAGGAGAGGCGCTTCATGTGCTTCTCATGGGGGTACTTGAGCTGGGTGGCGAGCCCAGCGGCCTCGAGCAGCTTGATGGTGTACCATGTCATGTCCACCTGGTGGTCCTCCAAGCCATGGCGGCACGAGTACTGGAACGCGTGGTGGTTGTTGTGCCACCCCTCGCCAAACGCCAGTAACCCCACCCACCTGACACAGCGGCAGTAGGGGAAGCAGGATGGAAGGAAGAGTGAGCCAACAGGACGTAGGGGGAGGAGAACAGTGTGACATTTCTATGTGAACTGGCTGTTTTGCTAACTACTGCCAGGAGCATGTGCCATCCAAGCTGGGTAATGCACCTCCCTCTGAGCTCTGCTGAATCTCACCCTGTCAGACCCGGCGTCTCCCATCCTCACCCATATCCGACTAAAACTACTAAAGCCTGTCAACAGGTGAAGTGATTAAGGCGTGAGCACACTCTGCTGCTCATGCTTGCATCTGCCACATTAGAGACACTTGACACAGAGTCTTGACCCACTGAGCGACCGAGCTGAAGCTTAGGTACATAGGCCTCAGCTCCACAGGCCATATTGAATGTGGGTTGGGGGGAGAGAGTTGTCGAAAGAGACATTGCAAGGCCTACCAGTTGTTTCGCGAAAGGTCGCCGGTGTTCCAGGATTGGTAGCCCCACACGTGCGACGCGGAGTTGACGAACCATGTGATGTGGTACACCCACACGGCGCGCACGCCCTGTAAGAGACAGGCATGGACAACAAGGAGATTAATACAGCCGTTATAACAACGAAATTTCGACCATTAGTTGCCCTCAGAAGACCTGAAAAAGGACTGAAGGGCACCCAAGGAAGTGTGGATGAATCAAAACTGCAAACATTCGAAGGACAAGCCCAGCGGGCACAAGAATCTATGGAGTACTTACGAAGCCCCAGACGACCCAGGGGAAGCCTCCGAGGGCGTAGAGCAGCAGCACGGACGCCACGATGTGCCACACGTAGGTGGCCTCGATAAAGTTGTAGAAGGGATCGTTCTCCATGTCCGCGATATTGTTGCGCACACCCACCTGGAGTTTCACGTGGTACAGTGAAGAAAAAATAACACGGTAAGGAGTCGTTCCCCACTCTTAAATCCTGCTACGTTTGACGTCCATTTTCCGTTCCAGGTTCAACTGCTTCCAAGTTTAAGGTGCGATGTTACGCAAAGGTGAGCTACGCGCCAAAGCACACTCGAGAATAATCTTACCCGTTCTTGCGTGGCGACGTCGTCGAGCAGCCACCCCATGTGGCTGTGCCAGAAGCCCTCGTACGGCGTGTGCGGGTCGGCGGGAGTGTCGCAGAAGCGATGGTGGTAACGGTGAGCGCTCACCCACTCCTTGGGGTCGCCCTACGGGCGAGACACAAACAGGATGGCGTTCGGACGCAGGACGAGGGAGGGTAAGGAAGAGAATATGCGTGGAAATTCTAGGTTTTCCACATGAGCGTCACAGGAGAATTGAATAAGACAAACGCGACCACGACTGAGTGAAAAGGACGAACAACGCGCGAAGGCAAAGATCAGTGAGCAAGTAGTGAGCAGCGACGTCGTACCTGAACAGCTTGAATCCCGCAGTAAGCGAAGGTGTACTCGAGCCACTTAGGAAGCGTGAAAGAACGATGCGACAGATTGCGGTGGTATGACAGGGTGATCCCAAACATTCCTGGATAATAATAAACAAAATGTAAGGAACGTCAGCCTCAACGCTAGATAACAATCGCAGCGAAGTCACGGTTGCGGAGATGTAAAAAAGCGAAGAGAAAAAAGTCTGCAAGCGAAGAAACAACGCACCTGTGATCACGTAAAGGCCAACAAAGAGGCCAACGTTTTGCCAGGAGAAGGTGGCTGGAGCAAAGAGGCACAAGCCATGGACGAAGAGCATGTACACAGCGTAGCTGATGTCCTTGGACGTGTACTCCCGGTTGAAGAAGTACGGCCGCTTCCGTTGCGCGATAACGTCCGAGAACCACACTTGCGCGGATTCAAACGGCGACGGCTCTGCCGCGGATTGCTTGGGAGGAGCCTCCACGGCGCACGAGATTTGTCGTCTTTGTGACTGCAGGCCGACGGTCGGAGCCGCCGTGGGTTTGAAGGATCGGATGAATGGAGTGGATAGGGTCGGCAATCTGGGTGAGGCTCGCAGTTTAGACGACGCGAGGGGTGCGAGGGCTCTGGCTCCGGCAGCAGCGCGAGCGGGAATTCTCTGGATCTCCGAGCCTCGGGTTAGGAAGGTCCCTGACGGGAGGACGGCCGCCGAAGTGGTCGCCATGGTTCTGCCTTCTGTGTGGCTAATCGGGGAAGAACGGCCCGAATCCCGGAGGGCTTTCTGCACAACTGTGGTTTTAGAAAGTCCTGGGAACACAGATCCACACAGGAAGCTAGAATGATCAGCCGCGAACTGAGCTCAGAAAGAGCTGATCGTTCGAAATACCTGTTAGCAGGATCAAGGAGGAGGTAATGTATGAGGAGGGGGATTGGCTTGCTTGCGTTGCTCGTTCCTGTTTGCGTGCTGTTGCGTGGGGTTGACGGAGGCTTGGCTGAGGCGGATTTGCGTGCCTCGGGGAGCTCCCCCCAACCTTGGGATTCCTTCCGAACTTGCGGACGAAACACGAGGATGCCCCGCAATCGCATCAGCGACATCTGGCCGTTCACTGTGCTGACGGAAACCGTCGATCACAGCGCAACTTTGCTGGCTCAGCGCGGACCCGTGACATTGTGGTGGCTGTAAAACTGGTGGTCCAAATCCGTCAGGTTGGACGTGGTTTGCGACATTGAGGGCTTGCTGGATTCACGAGTCAGGATGAAGGTCATGTGGCAAACCACGATTCGGCGGTGCGAGCAGTCTCTGCCTTGCTGGACGAAAAGGACCTTAGTGTGAAAGATAGCGAGTGTACCTCTCCCACCACCACTATGAATCCGAGATATTTTGAAGTTCTCCGTGGCTAAAAGCTGTTTGATTTGTGAGGCTTGGATTAGGTCGATTTTCTCAACCCAATAAAAGCTTCCCTTTCAGCGTGAGACGGTCTCCCCAAATCAACAAGAAGCCCCACTGCGCGGAGAAGCGTACAGCAACGCAACTCCCTGCCGCGTCGCCTTCCCTACGATTCGCCCAATCGATCATGTGGAAACCAGGTTCATCCGCTTTTGAATATATCACCGTCTTCGTTTTACGCTAATTGATGAAGAGTTAACCATTCATCCATTACCGGCCAAGAAGTATATCTGACGGTGCAGTAGAGAACCCTTCAAAAGCGGATGCCGGTTTGGTAGTGTGTCGAGGCTCGGCTCCGCGAAACTCCCTTGGCTCACACAACCAAGCTCCAAGTACAGTAGCCTCAAGGTCAGCATCCAAACCACAGTTATGGGAGCATCCATCTGAGCCTAGCCATAGACCGAAGCAAGCGAGCAGGCTCACCTCGCATCCTCGAGTCGAGTTTCCCATACATAGAAGTCTCTTCAGTTCACCAGCAGTTAGCTCTTTCACAGTCATGGCGGTTCGCTTACTCCGCCTTTCTTGACACAGAAACTCCCGATGTCAGGCCTGGGAAAGTCGAGATTAACGCTTTCGTTTTTCTTGACCTTCAAGTATTTTCCCGTTAGGGCTTAATTCGTTGAGTACACTGGTGATCCAGAGTTCACATTTTTGCCGAAGTTTCCGAAGTTTCGTTGAGTACACTGGAGGGATTTCCGAAGTTTTTTTTGCGAATCACGTCATGCCTGCTCCGCTTGTGGCTCGGAAGGCTTCTCAACAAGGGTCAGGAAAAACCGGCGGGCGAGGTTCGGAGAAACACCGAGGCGACGCGACCCCGTTAACGTCGGGGCAAGGCTCGGGGTTTAAGAAGAAAGTTGGAAGTTTGGAGCAGCCGCATTCAGGCAAGCACGTCCCAGCCAATGGTAGGAAGCCATCTGGACACGAAGCCAAGACTGGGAGCTCATCAGCACCTCCTAACGGTTACATCCGAGACACCGATTCGCTCGAAAAGGCCGTTCCTAGTCACAGCCACCGTTACAGTCACGACGGCGTGATCGATGCTGGTCAGACTCGCGGGAGATCCGGCATCGACGCGCTGTACGCGGGAGGCGAGGGCCTCCCCCGGCGCATCAACTTCCTCCCCGCGCGCCACGCCGACGCGCACTCCGCGCTCCCCGTGGACCTCAAGCCGCTGAATGCGGCCGATCCGAGCCGCGAGCCACGTGGCAGGCAGCCAGCGGTCGGATCGGAGGGCAATGACAGGGGGAAGGGGAAGGAGGGGAAGAGAAAGGGAGAGAAGGAGCGGCGCGAGGCGAGTGAGAGGGAGCCAGACGGACTGGAGGGGCAGCTGGATCGTTCGGATGTGGCGTTGGAATGGCGGCAAATACGGCCGATTGTAAGTCGCACATGCGTGCAGCTCTCGGCTCTCTAGGACATGCGCGCCAATGCACCCCGCATGTGTCACTGCACGCGTTATATGTTGCTTTGTGAAACCAATTACACCCGGTCTCGCAGCAATCAAGCAGTTCCTGATTGCAGGATTGGACGATACGCATGCAACCCTGTCCCCACCACCCACGACACCCTAACCCCGCCAAGCACATCCGTCACGCGCACGCGCGCTGCTGCGCGCACTGAAGCTATGCGATGATCTTTGAGATGTAGAGGGAAAATAGTTTTTGCTGTGCGTGGACGACTGCGTGTGGGGTGAATGGCAGGGAGCAGGGTTGAGCAACCTGGGCAACACGTGTTTCATGAACTCCGTCCTGCAATGCCTCACGTACACGCCGCCCCTCGCCAACTACCTCTCGCAGTCGCCGCACTCCGCCACCTGTGAGTGCTCCTCCTTTGCAGGCCTTACCCGTGCCCGCCGTACAGATGCTGGTTCTACAGGCCCTTGTGCGTACTCCATATCAACAACTCGTTATGTTTTTCCCCTCTAATTATCATACCCAGGTGCAGCAGCACCTGCTGTCGTTTCTCCTAATTCTAACTCTCTACTCCCTCCCCATTCCCTTCTCACGCGTCCACTGCATGCTGCCCTCCCGTCCACTCACGTCTCTCCCGTGCACGGCAGGCAGGGTGGCGGGGTGGTGTGCGCTGTGTGAGATGGAGACGCATGTGCCGAGGGCAGTGGGGGCCACGGGCAAGGTGGTCTCGCCCACAGGCTTCGTGCGCAACGTCAAAAGTACGAACCGCTCTACACCCCACCCCCCTCTCCCCCTCCCCCCCTCCACCCCCCGTCCTCCTTCCCCGCCCTCGCTCTCTTTCCCCTCCCTCTCTCGCTTTGACACGCACGCACACGCAATCTCATCTCCCTTCTCCCCCTCACGTCCCCTTCTACCCCTCATCTCCCCTTCTCCACCTCACCTCCCGTCTCTCTCTCATCTCTCTTTCATCTCGCTTCCATCTCTCTACGCCTCATCTTTCCTGTCGGTCTCCCCGTCATCTCTCTCACGCCCCTCCTCATCCCCCATCACCCCCATCCACACAGGTGTGGCGCGGTCGTTCAAGGCGGGCAGGCAGGAGGACGCACACGAGTACATGCGCTGCCTGTTAGACGCGCTCCACCGATGCTGCCTCCCGCCCAAACGAGCCTCCGCCTCAGGCTCGGGCGCCGATCCTGCCTTTGCGCCGAGGCTGATGAACACATTCGTGCACCGGACGTTCGGGGGGTACCTGTGCAGCCAGGTGCAGTGCACCGTGTGCGGGTACTGCTCCCGAACCTACGACCCGTTCCTGGACCTCAGCCTCGAGATTGTCCGAGCCGACTCGGTGACCAAGGCTCTGCATCGGTTTACGTCTGAAGAGGCTTTGGATGGGGCAAACAAGTACAAGTGCAGGTAAGAGAGTGGCTGCTGGAGCATTAAGGGGCTGAGCTTGAAGCTGTGAAGTTCCCCCTTGTCATCACCTCCTTTCCCTCCCCTCACCCCCTCCTGATGGTGCATATTATGCGGCTAACACCCTCGCTCATCCTTTCCTTCTCCACTGAACTGCCCATCCGGTCCCAACCCCCTCTCATGCTCGCAGCAAGTGCAGGAAGAAGGTGCGCGCGCTCAAGAGCTTCGCCGTGGAGGAGGCACCCCCCGTGCTGACAGTGCACCTGAAGCGCTTCGCTGCGCTCACAGGGCGCAAGCTGGACAAGCACGTGGCCTTCCCGCCCTCCCTCGACCTCTCGCCCTTCATGAACTCCTCCCGCTCCTCCACCAGCAGCAGCAGTGGCGGCAGCAGCAGGGGAGATGGAGGTGGGGGTGGGGGTAGGGGTGGGAAGTACAGTCTGTACGGGGTGTTGGTGCATGCGGGGTGGTCCACCAACTCGGGGCACTATTACTGCTACGTGCGAGGGCCGTCTGGCACGTGGAGTGCCATGGATGATGCGAGGGTGCAGCAGGTGAGTGAGAAGACCGTGCTGCAGCAGCGTGCCTACCTCCTCTTCTATGTCCGCCAACCCCCCCCGCCTGCTGCTGCTGCTGCTGCTGCTGCTGCTTCTTCTTCTGCTGGTGCTGCTGCTGTTTCTCCTTCTGCTACTGCTCGTGGTGCTCAAACCTCTGCTGCTACGGCGCCTGCTGCAGCGGCTGGTGGTGAAGCGGATTTGAAAAAGAAGGGCAAGGCAGCAGCACCGCATGTGGACGCGTTCATGCACGTACAGGCACAGGGTGAGGCGCAGGAAAAGGAACAAGCACAGGCACAGGCACAAGGAGTGACACAGGAGCGGTTGCAGGAAAGCGCAGGCAGAAAAGCGGGCAAGGACAGGGCGGGAGCAGCAGTGGGTGAGGGTACAAAAGCGGGCAGTAGCGTTGCACGTGAGGCCAAGGCGAGCGCAGGTGTGAAGGGTGAAGGAAGGGAGGTAGTGATGATGGATGCGAGTGGAGGGCAAGGGGCGGTGGAGGCTTTGGTGGAGGGGGAGAAGTGGGGCGAGAGGGAGGGGCAGGCTGTGTTGGCAGAGGCGTCAAGTGATGAGGAGAGCAGCGAGGAAGGGGAGGAGCAAGGCGAGGAGGACGGGGAGGTGGATGGGGAGGGAGTGGCTGAGAGGGCGGCAGCAGGTGGTGATTCTGATGATGAGAGTGACGACCCAGATTGGACGTTGGGTGCTGAGGGCGGAGAGGATGCGGCCAACGATGCTGAGGGCAGAGAGGATGCGGCCAACGATGCTGAGGGCAGTGCAGGTCATTTGAGGGGGTCATCGTGGGCGACAGCAGTGGGGCAGATGTTACGACTGCTGCCGGGCTCCACCAGGGAGTCAAGAGGAAGCCTGAGGAGCCGAAGCAGCCCTGGACGTGGCAGCAGGTCGGGAGGGAGCTTCGGCAGCAGCGGGTGGGGCAGGAGCAGCAGCAGCCTGGGCAGCACTGTGGGGAGCAGCAGGGAGAGGATGCTGAGGCTCATGTCTCCCCTCGTGCCGCTGCCTTTCTATGGGGGAAGGGGCGAGGCTGGGCGTGTGGTCAGGGAGAGGGGACGGCGGGAGGAGCTGGTTTTTCCGTTGGGGGGGGGGCGGGGGCGGAAGAGGAGGAGAGGGGGTATGGAGGGGTGGGGCCGTGGTGTGGGCTGGGAGGGGAGTGGAGGGATGGGGGTGGGAGTGGAAGAGGAGGGAGGAGGGGTGAGGAAGGAAAGGGAGAGAGGAGGGATGGGGGTGGAGGAGGAGAAGGTGGAGAGAGGAAGGAGGGTGGGCAGGGGAGAGGAGGCGAGGGTGGTGGAGGGAGGAGAGGGGAAGGAGGAGGTGAGGAGAAAGCGACAAGAGAGGGATGCGCTACAAGTGATGGACGGGATAGGAATGGAGGAGGGGGAGGTGGATTCAGAGGAGGAGGAGGAAGGGGAGGCGATGATGATGGCAGGGCCGGGGATAGTGGTTCCGAGGGTGGGGTCGTCAGAAGAAGATGACTCAGAGGGGTGGAGCAGTGGGAACGAGAGTGAGGATGAGGGCGCGGGGGAGAAAGAGAGAGGGAAGGACGAGGGAGAACAGGAGGAGGAGGAGAGTGAGGGAGGGAATGGGCAGGGGAATGGGCAGGGAAATGGGCAGGGGAGCGGGCAGGGGAATGGGCAGGGGAGCGGGCAGGGAAATGGTGATGGCAGCATGAGCAGGGTGATGACGTATGGGGGGTCGGATGCGGTGTGGATGATGAGGGAGGGCGCACAGGAGGCGACTGTTGGGGCAGGCGGGCTGGCGGGCTCCCAGTGGGGCGACGATGGTGAGTGTGACTCGCTTGTGACTGCATGCTGAGTTGCAGTGGGGGCGTGCATTGGCCTGTGGCGTGCTGCTACAAGTATAAGTGTGAGTGTCAAGTCAGGGTCTGTTGTGAACGACAAACGTGTGAGAGGCCAAGAGGAGGTGACGTGGCGTGGGGTGGTGGGTGCGGGGCAAGGAGATGGTGCGGGACCAGGGGGGTGATGCGGGGTGGGGCACGAAAGTAAGGAGGGGCGACTGAATGGGGTGGGAGCCTAGTGTCTTCGCCTGTAGCACGTCCTCCTGTGTCTTCCTTGCTTGTTCAGCAGCTGTGTCTTCCCTGCTTGCTGCAAAACCTTGGTCCAAATTTGTGGCATGCCCTTTCTTCTTTCCGCTGCCCTGTCTGGCCGGTGTGTGGATTCAGAAGGCATGGCGATGATCGGCGCTCACCTTCTTGTGGCTGAGAGGCGAGCCGCCAGCAAGTACCGATACGATGAGTGGTGAGTGCAGCAAGTACCGTTGCGATGAGTGGTGAGTGCAGCAAGTACCGATGCGATGAGTGGTGAGTGCAGCAAGTACCGATGCGATGAGTGGTGAGTGCAGCAAGTACCGATGCGATGAGTGGTGAGTGCAGCAAGTACCGATGCGATGAGTGGTGAGTGCACCACTCACCGGGTCATTCAATGGTCTCTGTGCCGCCATCTTGCCATCCCTGCATCACCTACACCCGTTCCCCGTGCGCTCGCTCCCTTCCCCTCAGTCCCTTTTTTTGTCCTCTTGCTCTCTTCTTCAACCTGTTCCTCCTCGCCCCTCCACTCCCCTCCTCTTCCCTCCCCTCTCCCCACCCGCCCCCTCGCCTCCCCTCCCCTCCCCTCCCCTCCCCACCCCTCTCTCTGCCGTGCATGGGGCAGGGACGAGGAGCTGGACAGGGGGCGCGTGAAGAAGGTGAAGCGCAGAGCAGATGGTGACGCACCCGACCCCATGGCCGCCCCCAACCCCTTCCAGGCCCTTGCTACTGCGCCTGCTGGTGGCGCTGCTGCTGGGGGTGGTGGTGGTGGAGGTGGGGAAGGAGTGAGGGAGGCGCATGGGAAGAGGCCAGGGAGGTGGATGGGGAGGGACAAGGGTAAGCATGACAGCAACCGGCATGTGGCAAAGCTCAAGGGAAAGAAGGCCGGGCCTAAATGGTAGCGTCAGATCAATTGTTTGATATGTTTGACGGCTTACAGTCAGAGGCGCAGATGATAACGTTTTATTGCTGGTTAAAGCTGGCGTTATGGTGTACATCGGTTGAGTGCATGAGCCTTTCAATGATTTATGGGGATTTTGCCCAATAAATTTGCTATGGTCCATTGTTATACGAAGAGATAATTATTCGATTTTTTTGCACACAATTGCTGAAAAGCTCTTAATCGCGTAAGTCAATGTGCTAGTTCCTTCAGAAGTTCCTCCTCGTTTCCTGGCCACGTGGCTTTCCTTCACCACATCCAAATGTCACGTGGCAACCCAACCCATTGCGTGACTGGTAATTTGGGCCATTTTCAGGTGCAATCCCATCAGTACGAGATGTGTCCTCAGGTGGGAGCCCAACAGCTTTCCGGCACTGTTACAGGCACTGTTCTGGAACTGTGTACAGGTGCCGCAACAGACCCTGGTGCAAGCTCGCCACTCACTCACTGTTCAGCTGACGGATTTTATTGTTTATGACACATTTTGACGGAAATCAAACAGACAACAGACCAAATACCCGAAGCTGTAAAGGCCACCCGAAAAACAAAATAAAACCCCTAGAGAACTTGCAAGCCTTTTCGGGAGGGATCAACCCTAAACACGGGAACCCATCTGGTGTTTATGGTTGATGCTTCCCGATTCAATTCCGTTCAGATCGGGTTTTATATAATTTTAGGAAAACCTTGGAGAAGCATCAACCCTAAACACCAGGAGGTTCCCGTGTTTAGGATGATCTTCCAAACATGCGTCCAGCGCGACTGTAGCTTTTAGTTTGTTTTTTGGGGTATGTCTTAGCAGTTCCTGGTAGCGTGGGTAAACGAAGCGTGTGTGAGCGCATTAAAGGCGGGGTGCAACTTCTTAGGAACAGTAGCAGGACAAACATGGAGTGTGCGTAACGAGACCCTTATTGGATGAAAAAATGGAATCTCGGAAAAGACAAACTTCTCGCCACAGAACTGCCTGGGACAACCAAGTTCCAAGCTATAATACTTCGAAGTTGAAGCTGATAGTTGGGCCACGGCTTTAATTTCACTCAGCGAGTTCAGATTTGAGTGGCGCATCTTTTCAAGGCTCTGTTCCGGCACGTGTGTACAGTGCGCAACAGAAGCTTTGAAGGATGCGCCGGGCTTCCACCTGAACATATTTTCTGACTATAGAGATTGCACCTGAAAATGGCCCTGGTAATTCCAAGCCCATGCTGTTTCAACTGGAATTACCCAATTAGAACTCATCGAGGGTCTGGTTGGGTCGATTTTGGGTGGTGGCGATCTGGACCACCATTAACAATTCACGAAACATCACGTGGCGATTGGCCAAAACCCATCACACATGAAACGACGTGGACTATCTTCCACTCGGTAGTGTTTCGCGTCCCGTTCTGATTGGGTTTTAGTTTTTTTTCGGGTCAGGGGGGTGCAATGTATTGATCGAAATATCTCGTCACACCCCAGCCCCAACTACAGTGTTCTGTACCCAGAGAGTTGTCCCAACCAATCCCAACCTCCCGCAACTTTCTCATGTGCAACGGATTCCCGACTTTATGCGTTGGGTCTCCTAACCCTAATCATTTCCAGCTACCGGCGCGATGCGATCTGTTTGTAAACACTCGGTGAGCTCTTCGGTGGATTCTCCACCGCATGCTTCGGCGAGACGGCTCCGACGAGTCGTCTTGTGTGAATGCCCACAAGCGCCAGACGACCTCAGTCGAACTCGACTTTGATGGCAGCATGATGTCCAGCGGGATATTCGATCCGAACCGACGGATGGGGGACACAACGGCCTTACCTACCGCGCTCCGCACCACTGTTGGTGACGGATGGCTTGCCATTGCCAGTCGACACTGTCGACTCCTCTGGCAGAGGCCTCCATCCCACGCTCAGCCTGACTGATGAGTCTCCAGCAGAGCCTTCTGTCCAACCGAAGGTTTCTCTTTGCCAAGTTGGAGTACTTGAAGTACTAGCAGCGCGGCAAGGTCCGAAGCCCATAAGACGCGGTATTGTGCCTCGTGCTGTTTGGCTCCTCTTGTCACAAATTGTGCAGCAGCCTTCCTAGCTTCCGATGGCGTCTACACTCTCTCCTGCTGCTGCCACAACCGCTGGGGCGACTGCGATGCTCCAGCAAGGCGAGCCGCCTTCTAAAGCGAGAAAGCTCTACCTCCGGAAGGTGGGGACCAATCCAAGCTGGTCTGGGAAATACCAGGGGCCACGTGTTCAGTCCCCGACAGTGTATTCGTTGGTAATAAGGCCTGATTCTTCGCCACTTCGCGGAATTTGAAAGTCGCGCGCGCACCAAAAGCTTCGATAAAAATAGTACTGCCCCTGCTCCTGCTGCTGCTGCTGCTGCTGCTGCTGCCACATCCGCTGGGGCGACGGCGACTCTACAGCAGGATGTGTTTTTCGAGACGTCTCAAAAGATGCTCCAGCAGGAGCAGGAGGTGCCGCGGCAGCAGCAGCAGAAGGCGCGGGCGTGCGGGCTGGGCATCGTGCCGTTCCTGGAGGGAAAGCACGTGCTCATCACGGGCGCGACGGGCTTCATCGGGAAAGGTGCGGCTTTTTGTGGTAACGGTGTGGTCCATTGGGGTGCACTGGGGTGCATAGGGATGCATTGGGGTGCATTGGGGTGCATTGGGGTGCATTGGGGTGCATTGGGGTGCATTGGGGTGCATTGGGGTGCATTGGGGTGCATTGGGGTGCGGGATTGTTGTAGGTGTCGACACGACACTCCGTAACGGTCCATGTAACCTCTTTTCTCTTTCCCCCCTTATTCTCCCCACGTCTTCCCTTCCCCACGTCTTCCCGTCCCCCCACGGCAGTGTTGGTGGAGAAGATACTGCGTGAGCAGCCGGGCGTGGGGCAGCTGTATCTGCCTTTTGAGGCGTCTCAAAACTCTCCCCACGTGTTCCCCTCTTCTCCTCCCACTTTCCCCCCCGGCAGTGTTGGTGGAGAAGATCCTGCGCGAGCAGCCGGGGGTGGGGCAGCTGTATTTGCTCATCCAACCCACGGCCCGCGCCACCGCAGCGCAGCGCCTCAAGCAACAGGTGCGCTGCTCGCCGTGCCCTCGGGTTGCATTGCAGCTACCGCCTTGCTGTTCCCGCAACCCGTTTTCTCACACCCTTATGTGCATTCCACCAGGCACGCGCGCACGCGCACCCCCCTTCCTCACTCCACTTCCGCACCCCCCTTCCTCACCCCCCTTCCTCACTCCACTTCCTCCCCCCCCCCCTTCCTCCGTGTTCGCCTCTTCCTTTCCCCCTCCTTCCCCCCTCCTCCTTTCCTCCTCATCCTTTCCTCCCCAACCATCTCGCTGCTCACCCCCTCCCCCGCGTCCCCACAACTTGAGCCCATTCCCTCGCCCTGGTTCCCGCATCGGCGGCGGCAGCACACAACATATCATCTGCGGCGGCAGCACACAACATATCATCTGCGGCGGCAGCACACAACATATCATCTCCGCCTGCATCCCCTCTCCCCAGGTTGTCTTTTGAGTCGACTCAAAAACACAACATACCCCTCTCTCTCCGCCTGCATCCCCTCTCCCCAGGTCGTCTTTTGAGTCGACTCAAAAACACAACATACCCCTCTCTCTCCGCCTGCATCCCCTCTCCCCAGGTCGTCTTTTGAGTCGACTCAAAAACACAACATACCCCTCTCTCTCCGCCTGCATCCCCTCTCCCCAGGTCGTCTTTTGAGTCGACTCAAAAACACAACATACCCCTCTCTCTCCGCCTGCATCCCCTCTCCCCAGGTCGTCTTTTGAGTCGACTCAAAAACACAACATACCCCTCTCTCTCCGCCTGCATCCCCTCTCCCCAGGTCGTCTTTTGAGTCGACTCAAAAACACAACATACCCCTCTCTCTCCGCCTGCATCCCCTCGCCCCAGGTCGTCCCGTCGCCCGTATTCTCGCTGCTGCGGGAGCGGCATGGGGAGGGATACGAGGCGGTCATGGCAGCCAAGCTCACGCCCGTGCACGGCAACTTTTGAGGCGCCTCAAAAGTATATTCCATCCTTCCCCCTGCATTCCTTCTCCCCAGGTCCTACCCTCGCCCGTGTTCTCGCTGCTGCGGGAGCGGCATGGGGAGGGCTACGAGGCGTTCATGGCGGGCAAGCTCACGGCCGTGCAGGGCAACGTGGGGGAGGACGGGCTTGGACTGGCTGCCCACGCCGCTGCTGCTTTGGAGGAGTCTGTGGATCTGATCTTTAACTTCGCCGCCACCGTTGACTTTGAAGCCCCGTACGTGGTCCTTACGCGCCCCGTACGGTGCACTGCACGTGGTCCTTACGTGCCCTGTACGGTGCACTGCACGTGGTCCTTACGTGCCCCGTACGGTGCACTGCACGTGGTCCTTACGTGCCCCGTACGGTGCACTGCACGTGGTCCTTACGTGCCCCGTACGGTGCACTGCATGTGGTCCTTAACCTCGCTGTTTTGAGTCGACTCAAAACAAGCTCACGGCCGTGCAAGGCAACGTGGGGGACGACGGGCTTGGACTGGCCGCCCACGCCGCTGCTGCTCTGGAAGGCTCTGTGGACCTGATCTTTAACTTCGCTGCCACCGTTGACTTTGAAGCCCCGTATGTGCACTGCCTCTGCCTCTGCCTCTGCCTCTGCCTCTGCCTCTGCCTCTGCATCCCATCTAAAGGAAGCTCGTTCCAAGGCTGTTGTTGACAGCTGCGCGTGTAAACCAGATGACTGTTGAGTCTGACTCAAAAGCTCGTTCGAAAGTTGTTGAATTGACAATGTGCACGTGAGCTCTGATGGTTTAGATGATAATCCACTTCGGCCCGGAAGATGTATGCTGATCATCCAAACCATGTGTTGCATCTCGTCGTCTCAGGAGAGTCGAATCTGAATGCCCTGTAAATCTGCTGTCCTTTTGAACCTGCCACGTGTCCTATTCAACCTGCCACATGTCCTTCTGCCTGTCAGGTATGACGTGGCACTCAACATCAACACCCTGGGCCCGCGGCGGTTGCTAGCCTTCGCCAAGAAGTGCACGCAGCTTGAGCTGCTGGTGCATGTGTCCACTGGTGAGGCGCACTTGCATTTGCATGTGCATCTCCGGCCGGGTCACATGTGCATCTCCGGGTCACAGCTCCGTCTCCGGCTCACATGTGCATCTCCGGCCCACATGTGCAGTGTGACTGGTGAATTTCATGCAGTGTAGGTGTGAGTGACTGGTTTGTAACACTGGTACTGTAACATTGTTGCACACCGCCCTCTGTACCGCCCAGCCCAGTCTCTCCTCTCCCTCTCGCCCTCCTCCTTTCCCTCGCAGCCTATGTGAACGGGCAGCGCAAGGGGAGGTGCATGGAGCGACCCTTTTCTCCGGGCGATAGCATTGCTGCTGAGATTGCTGCTGAGATGCTGCGCGGCTCTTCCGCCCCGTCGGCCCCCACTGCTGTTGCTGCTGCCACCACTGCTGTTGCTGCTGCTGCTGCTGTTGCTGCTGTTTTCGCTACTGCCACCACTGCTGCTGCTGCTGCTGACCCCACTGCTGCTGCTGCTGCTGCTGCCCCCTCTGCTGCCGCTGCTGCTGCTGCTGCAACCACTGCTGCTGCTGCTGCCACCACTGCTGCTGCTGCTGCTACTTCCCCTGCGCCGGCCTCCGAAGTCCCTGTGCTAGATCTGGATGAGGAGGTCGCACTGGCGTTGAGGGAGCGAGCGGCGGCGGAGGCAGGTGAAGAGGCGAGAGGGGCGAGTGCGGAGGAAGTGGCAGCAGCGGTGGAGGCGCATATGTCCGCCCTGGGTGCTGACAGGTGTGTGTGTGTGTGTGTGTGTGTGTGTGTGTGTGTGTGTGTGTGTGTGTGTGTGTGTGTGTGTGTGTGTGTGTGTGCATTTCAATAGTGCTTCTCAAACGGTCGCCGTCTCTTGCTTGCACCTGCACCCCTTTTCCCTTCTTCAGCTCGCTGAGTATTGTGTAAGCAGGAGAACGTCGCTGTCTCTCTCCTCACCAGCTGTCCCTGCTCCTGCGTGCACCTCTTTTCCCTTCTCCGCCCGCTTGCATCCCTGATTTTCCTCCTCTGCCCCCTCCCCCCTCCCCCTACTGTAGGGCGCGTACCTTTGGGTGGCAGGACACGTACGCACTGTGCAAGGCAATGGGGGAGATGGCGGCGCCTCAAAAGTTTTCCTCCTCTGCTCCCTCCCCCGTCCCTCCTCCCCCTCCTCCAGGGCGCGCACCTTTGGGTGGCAGGACGCGTATGCACTGTGCAAGGCAATGGGGAAGATGGCGCTGGTGGAGCAGCAGGAGCGGGCGGAAGGGGAGGGGGAGGAGGTGGGGGGGTGGGCTGGGGGAGAAGCGCGTGTGCCGGTGGTGGTTGTGCGGCCCAGCATAGTGGAGAGTGCACTGTACGAGCCCATGCCTGGATGGATAGAAGGCTTTCGGTGAGAGTGCCGCGAGCCCATGCCATGCCACCACATTGTGCGTCGGTCCTCACTCCGTCTGCTCGCTTGCGGCAGGCACTCCCCCCCTCACACTCGTCCTTTCCTTGGCACCAGACCTTCTCACTTGTCCCTTTGGTGTTGCTGTTGTGCTAGCACCAGTGTGCCAGATGTCATTCTGTTGTGTGCTAAGATACTCAAAAGTCACCTCGTTGTGCCAGCACCAGTGTGCCAGATAACATTCTCTCTCATGGCAAGCGGCAAGCTTTTCAGTTGACTCACTCACACTTTTCTTGTCCCTTCCTTTGCGCCTCCCTGTCTCACGCCACGCTCGTATCACACTGCTCACAATCGTCCCACAATGCCAGAGTGGCGGACCCCGTGCTGATGGCGTTTGCCAAGGGGGACATACCCGGCTTCCACGCTCCGCCGGACGGCATCTGTGACATTGTGAGTCAGAGCACGGCATCTGTGACATTGTGAGTCAGAGCATGGCATCTGTGACATTGTGAGTCAGAGCACGGCATCTGTGACATTGTGAGTCAGAGCACGGCATCTGTGACATTGTGAGTCAGAGCACGGCATCTGTGACATTGCGAGTCAGAGCACGGCATCTGTGACATTGTGAGTCACACCACCGCCTCGCCTCGCCTCCTCCCTTCCACCGCCCCACTCCTCCCTTATTGCATTCTTAACATATCTTGTCGCCAGTTCTTACGTTTTCCTTTCTTATCCCCGCTTTTCTTCTCCTTCCCCCCCCTCCCCCTCAACACCTTCCCCCGTTCCCCCTCCTCCTCCTCCCCTCTTTCAGATCAGTTGCATTGTTTCCCTGTCTTACACTTGCTCTTCCGCTCTTGATTCTCTATTTTCTCTCTGATGTGCTTATGAACCACGTGCCACATGTGTGGGCTCTTGGCAGCAGCAAGCAAACCCTCTCTACTGGTACTTTCTGTTTGTCCCAACTGTCTCCCGCATGCAGATCCCAGTGGACCTACTAGCCAATGCTATCCTTGCCATTGCTGCCAGCAATGCAAAGCCGCCGCAGAGTGCCATTCGATCCACTTCCAAGCTCCATCTGCCTCGTGTGTACCATGTGACGTCTTCGGTTACTAACCCGCTGTGCTTCAGCGGACTGTTCGCTGCCACCACCAAGCATTTTGCTGCCAATCCCATGAAGCGCAGGGATGGGACTGCAGTCTCTGTCTCCCATATGATAGCCTTTCCATGGCCCATGCTCTTCATGGTGGCTATTTGGTTTCAATATGAACTGCCTAGGCTTGTGAGTGATGTGTCCTCTTGCCCAGGCTTGTTTTTGCCAGTATTTGCCCCTTTTTTTCCCTCCCCACCCCTCCTCACTCAATCTTCTTATTTTTGCACGATTGTTTTGCAGTTGGTGACACTTGACCCTAGAAATGGACCAGCACAGAAGCAGCAGCAGGCTGCAAAACTGACCAAGAGGCACAATCAATACAGGCGCTTAGCTAAGTTGTACATGCCTTACTGCTTTGGCAAGGCGCTGTAAGTTATCAACCTTGTTACAGCACAATCAATTCCCGCATGCACAATGACAGCATTTGTCGGCCTCGTGTGTTGCCCCTTCACAAGTCTCTGTTTCACTCACCCAACCGCTGCCTCTGCATGCAAATTTGATTCCAGCAACATGGAAGACCTGTTCAATTTTAAGTCGACACAAACGCACGCATGCACAATCTATCACAACATGTGCTGACCTCATATGTTGCCTTGCCTCTGCATGCAGGTTTGACTCCAGCAACATGGAAGATCTGTTCACTGCAATGTCCCCTGAAGAGCAGCGCAAGTTCAATTTCAACGTTCGTAACATCAACTGGAACCACTACCTGTGCCATGTTCACTTCCCTGGCTTGCGCAAGTTCGTTTTGAAGGAAAAATCCCCTAAATAAGAGGCAGGCTAATATGGTTCAGCAGGAGTATTTTGAGACCACTCTTCTCTGTAGACGTCTGCTCAGCACACTCTAGAATTCCCCTTGTGAACAAATACGTATTTATGTAATCTGTCAAGCTACTAAGCAACCAACCATACTGTTGCGACACCCCCCTCTTCCTTCCACCTTTTTGTCTCCTCTTTCGTCTGCATTCCTTTCGCCACCGTGCGATGATGCTTTCCCGGTACAATACCGGTAAGAGAATGTACCTCTTTAGAGACTAGGACGCTTCAAATTTCCTTGTAATCTTATATAAACAATTGTATGACTTCGCTAGTCCCTTCTGTCATTTTACATTCACTCTGACAGGTGTCTATTAACGAATCAGGGAAACAAGAAATCACGAATTACTGTACACCCGCTACGAGTGCAATTGAGCGAGCGAGCTAGAATTGCATATCGAAGCAAAACAATACAATGAGCGAAGGCATGTGCGAAGAATAGCGAACTAGAGGGGTAACGGTAACGCGAGGAATTGGGGTGCGCTACGGGCCTAGCGCAGAGGTTGGGATATGTCTGTTGGAAACAATTGATTTAAAGCGCCTCTGTCGTGTCGAAACACCAAGACAGAAGCGAAGCGAATCATATCGAAGCATCAGCGAGTCAACCCTCGGAGGTTGAACAACTGCTGGAGGTTACGCGAAAGTCAAAGGTCAGCGACCTTTGACCTGACAAATGCAGCGCGACAGCAAGGACAAACAACTGACTCGCTACTGAGCAGTTGCCCGAGTCGACACTGTATCGAACCGCAACAGCAACAGTAAAACTGTTATTAACCGTATCTCTTCATATTCCTTGTATCCTTATAAAAAGCTTGTATCTCTTTGTTTTAATCAATCAACTTTGCCCTCACATACCAGCGCAAGGTGGTTCACAATCCTTTTATTAAACGCTTCCGCTATTACATTGTCCTACCCTTGAATTCTGTCCTGCAAAGATCCTAAGGGCCTTTTCAGCCCAACATGGTATGAGAGCAGTCAGGACAAATTCAACTACGATCAAGACACCTACAACATCACAAAACATGGCAACGCAGAAGGAGAGAAGCTCCTCTAACGGCTCTCCCGGTACTACTCCTACTCCACCTCCTGCCTCTGGCCTACAGACAGAGGAGGGTACGGCAAATCAAGCCGCGCCTTCGATCAAGACATGATGGAGAAGTTCTTCTCCTTCATGTCCTTCTACGAACAACACCAGCAAGGGGCACCTGCACAGTCAAACAACAGCACCAACAACAACGCAACACCGATGAGCCTCGACGGTTCATCCTACGCACGTGGAAATCAACAGCAACGGCCTAACTTTGCTCCGTACGAGCCCCAGCGTGGCTCCGTCAGCTTTATGCCACACCCGCAGCCCGCATCTGGACAAGAAAAGGCACTGGACGCACTTCAAGTTCAGTCGCAGTTCGCGCACGTCTTAAAACTACAAACGACAAGGCCTTTCGACGGAAAGGATTTCTTTACCTGGTCATTCGAGTTCGAGCTAATGATGGAAGGCGCGCAGATCCTTGGCTTCTTTGACGGGTCCCTGCCATATCCAACACACGGCACACAGTACGACAAGCAGCAGTACACGTATCAGTCAATGATGGCGTACACAATACTACTGAGAAATATCACTCCAAGTCAGCAACAGAACATACGGTCTTACCGGGGATACGGAAACTCTGCAGAGCTCGCGTACAACCACCTGAAGAACCTGTATTAGGCAACAGACTGCGTAAATCAAAGTCGGTTAATGGCGCAACTGACGACAGTCGAAATGAAACCAGGCGAAAAGGGGATGGCGTATATCAGCCGTTGTCGCGAATTGCGCGACAAACTCCTTCGATGCGGAGGATCGATTTCAGAAGACGCCTTCGTCATAGTCATCATCGGCGGCCTCGGTCCTCAGTGGCGCTCCACTCGCGCCATACTCCGAGCCCACGGAAAAATATCAGAAGCAGCACTCTGCGCCGAGATCCACGCTGAGCAGCAAGATATGGACCTGCAAGAAGAATGACACAAACGGAAGGCATCAGTGCCCGAATTCGCATTTCACACTCAACGGCGCAACAACAACAACAACAACTATCGGCATCAACCGAAACCAGTACCTCCGTTCTGTCACCTTTGCAAGACATCAGGCCACCCCCGTACACACTGCCCAAACCGTCCGCTTCGCCCTTCAAGCAGTCAAGTCGCCTCAACACAAGCGAATCCGACCTCTCAAGTACAAGCCTCAACAACATCGACGGGACAACCTGCGCAAGGAACAAGAAACATCATCAGTTGCATGACACGGCTAAACGACTCCTGCATCACAGAGTCACCACCACATTACTCACCGGAAGAGCAACTCGACAACAGCATGCCTCGCCGCGAGTCACTTCAACCAAATCCGACATATGCAGCCATCGCTCAAAGCGAGCCATCCGGGAAAGACACGTGGTTCTTGGACAACTGCTGTGGACAGCATATGTGCTCTTCAGGACGCTTCGTTCAACGTGAAAACCAACTTCAACGCGAGGTCGTCATCACCGTCGCCAACAATCAGAACCTGCGCACACGACGACAAGGCGTAGTGCAACTTCAGTCACGAGAGACAAACGTCATACTGCAGATGTCAAAGGTTTTAATAGCAGAAGGGCTCGGTTACAACCTACTGAGCGTCAGTCAACTGATGGCGAAGGGCATCCACCTCGAAGCAAATAGTACCACCCAGGAGTTCAAATTATACCACGGGAAAGGCGGTCTCTACATCGAGAAGGCGGTCCTGAAAAACAACGTCTTCGTCCTCGACTTCGTCCCAGATCTTGGCACTGCTGACAGCAACGGGATTGTCACTTTCACCTCTTGGACACATCCACCGGATCTTGACCCCAACTTTAGTCCAGAAGGCTTCTGGTACTCGCACACCATTCCTGAAGCAGAACGAACAAGAGCATTAGCAACAATTCAACACACGGCAGCAGCAGAGACAACAACGGCAGCAGCAGAGACAACATCGGCAACAGTAAAAACAACGACAGCAGCAGCAGCAACATCAACACCAATCGCTGGTCCTTCAACCGCATCGGCTCAAATCGCAGTTAGATCACCGACTCCTGTGCAACAGCTTAACCCAACACCACGAGAAGTACATCGAAGTGCAAACTTCACCGCAAGCTTCTACTCCAACTCCGACTTGTATCGTCGCTCACCCGGACATCGCGCTAGCGAAGACATCTGGCACACACGAATGGGACATCCAAGCAACACGGTGTTAAACAACACAATCAGAGCAGGAGTACTCGACAAAGATTCACTGCTCCTCACCGATGGAAGCGAACTTCGACGAGCGCGTGGAACGTGCTTTACCTGCCCCGAAGCAGACTTACCGCATCGACCATTCGCTTCTCACCACAACCCCAGCGCACCAGCTTACGCACCACTTGAGAAAGTGTACAGCGACATCCTGTACAATCGCAAACCTGGACAAGGAGCCTACAGCTACACCATCACGTTCATCGATGCCGCTACGCGTTACGTTTGGCACCTCAACCTTCCGAGCAAGGACATGGCTTTCGAAGCCTTCATAGCTTGGCTACCAGTAGCAGAACGAGAATCAGGCGTGAAACTAAAAAGCTTCCAGTCAGACGGAGGAGGAGAATACACCTCACAGAGGTTCAAGCAGTTCTTGGCAGAAAGGGGAATCAAGAGGCTCATCTCGCTTCCCTACGCCCATCAACAGCAAGGCGTGGCGGAACGGATGAATCGAACTCTCCAGAACACCATGCGCAAATTACTGCGTGGCATGCGACTGCCCAATCACCAGTGGCCTGAAGCGATGGACCACGCTGTCATGCTGCACAACTTGCTTTCATCGTCATCACTACCGAACAACGCATCACTGCACCTGCTGTGGACAGGAAAACAAGGCAGCACAAAAATGTTAAGGGTTTTCGGATGCATGGTACAGTACCGACCCCCATCTGCACGAGCCGGCCGATTTTCCCAACGCGCACAGTGGGGACTACACCTCGGCATCGAAAGAAATTACAACGCGTGGAAGATTTTCGACGTCCACTCCAAAGAAACAGTAGCAGAACGTGATGTCATTTTCTACGAACGACTCACCTTTCCGACATACCTTGCCAACCTGACAGAAGACCGGGATCCCACAGGTGGCTTCCGTGGTGACCGACACTTCGCCTCGGCAGCAGACGAAGCTGACTGGGACGAGCAAAACGTGGATAACGCCTCGGAAGAAGCAGGACCACTCCCATACTGCTCCGTGCCTATCCCGATGGACGACGAAAATCCTCGCGAAAGCGTCAACGCCGAAACCTATTTTGACCTCGCCGACACCGGTTACGTTACACCTGCAGAAGTCAACACCAACGAAGCAGAACACATAGGGCCCAACTTCATACCTGACCCAGAAACAGGCGACGAAGCAGCTTATCCCGCGGACACAACTCTCCCCCGCTACACACAGAGTGGCCTTCAGATACTCGGCCTAGTCACCGCGGTCCACGACACCGAAACTCCTAAGGAGCCTGCCTCAGTTCAGCAGGCTCTGGGGGGGAAGCATAGGGAAAAATGGCGTGAAGCCATGGACAAGGAACTCGAAGCACTGAAGGAGCGCAACACCTCGAAAGTTGTCCCTATCGGCGTGGCACGAAACAAGACAATACTCACCGGGAAGTGGGTCTTCCGTGTGAAGACGAAAGCAGACGGTACCGTTGACAAGTTCAAGGCACGATGGGTCGTACGCGGCTTCGACCAAGAGCATGGACGTGACTTCACCGAGACATTCGCCCCGGTCAGCCGACACACTTCACTACGGATTCTTCTCGCGATCGCCGCTATGAAGAAAAAGAAACTGCGGCAAATCGACGTCGCCAATGCATTCCTTTACGCACCTGTTGACGCCGAAATCTACGTCGAACTCCCACACGGTTCCCACGGAGAGCCCAACCAAGTCTGTCAGCTGCAAAAATCCCTGTACGGGATCAAACAGGCCCCGAGACTATGGCAGCAGTACTTACACGCTCGACTCACTCGCATCGGATTCCAGCAGCTACCGCACGACCAAGGCATGTACCGGCTCACGAAAGGCGACGACTACATTCTATTGATCGTCTACGTAGATGATCTACTCTACATCGGGTCGACCGACAACGTTACTACCTGGTTCGAAAGGGAGGTACAGAAAGACCTCACGCTCACAGTCTCATCTACCGTCACGCAGTACCTCGGTCTCAATATCCAGGAAGGAGAAAGTGCGATCTACCTCAACGCCGCAAAATATGCCGATACCATCGCCAAACGCTTCGCACTCACGCCAACTACCATCTCTACGCCATACCGTTATACGGCAGGAAACAACAAGGAAGAATCCGCTCCACTAAAGCCCGCCGGCATACGCGACTACCAGAGAAAGCTGGGATGTCTTCTCTTCGCAGCTGTCACCTGCCGCCCGGACCTATCATACTCCGCAAGTCAACTCGCCACCTACCTCAAAAGGCCCGAAGCTGAACACATGACGGAACTAGACCGCGCTCTTTGTCAGAATGTTATTCTCTAGCCTGTAGTGGGGTGCTCTATAGCGAGTACAACCCATCTAGGGTTTGCTATATGTATCCTCATTGCTGCTAGTGAACTCCTCTCTTTTGCCTAAACTTCTCTTGCCTAGCTAGGACTTACCTAGCTATGGCTCCTAACTCTACCTACTATTTTCACATGCTATCAGAGCAGGTCGATCCCCTTGGGTCGATCCTGTGGGTGGGCTCACCACCTCACTGCTTCCGCTGCTACTGCCACTCTCTGTGTCGCACGCCCCGTGGCGTGCGACGGATTTTTCATCCCGCCGCGCGCTCGGAGCGTGCGGCGGTTTTCTGCCCGCCGTGCGCCCCGAGGCGCGCGGCGGTTTTCTGCCCGCCGTGCGCCCCGGGGCGTGCGGCGGTTCTCTGCCCGCCGTGCGCCCCGAGGCGCGCGGCGGCCTTCTGCCCCGTCGGTCCGCGCGTCGCCCCCGGGGGGCGCTTCGACGGGCGACGGGGACCAGCCCGTCGTCCCCCGTCGCCCGTCCTGGCCAGCGCGGGCTGCGCCAGCCCCGAGCGCGGCCCGTACGGGCTGCGCCCGGCCCGCGCGCGGCCCGTACGGGCTGCGCCAGGCCCGCGCGCGGCCCGTACGGGCTGCGCCAGGCCCGCGCGCGGCTCAGGCCGCCTGCGCGCGGTTCGTCGGGCTGTGCCAGGCCCGTGGGCGGCCCGTTCCTCTCTGTCCCTGAGCTGCTCGCTGTCCCCCGTGCTTCTGACGGTGCCCCACCCCTACTGCTGCCCGTTCTCCTGAATTAGGGTTTGGGGGTGAGGAGTGTGGGGGTGGCGGTTGTGTGTTACTCCCCTTGCTCCTCCTCCTCCCTGGTCTCCCACTGCTGCAGCTGCCGCTGAGGGGGGTGGGTGTGTGGGAGCCTAGGGTTTAGGGTTTTAGGGGGGTGCGTGGGAGTGGAGCTAGGGTTTGAGCAGTGGGTGTGTGTCGAGGGTGTGGGGCAGTTGGAGGAGGTTGTGTGGAGGTACCTGTCGTGTCGCCTGCAGCGCCTGTAGTCCGTCGCCCTTGCTTCGGTAGCCAGTGAGCCTGCTGCACCAGTCGCCAGTGGGTCCGTTGCTCCTGCCGCTCTTCTATAGCCGCCGAGCCAGTTACTCCAGTAGTCCGTCGCCCTTGCTTCGGTAGCCTCTGAGTCAGCCGCTCCTGTGCCCGTGCCTCTGCAGCTTCAGTCGTTGCCTCCCATCTTCTCTACCTCCACAGCTCCTCCTCCTCACTTGCCCGCTGTGATTAGCTCTAGCTTTGCTTACCTTTGTGAACTCCTGCTCTATACCTGCTTGCTCATTGTACTGATTACACCCCACTTTGGCTATGGGGGTGTGTCAGAATGTTATTCTCTAGCCTGTAGTGGGGTGCTCTATAGCGAGTACAACCCATCTAGGGTTTGCTATATGTATCCTCATTGCTGCTAGTGAACTCCTCTCTTTTGCCTAAACTTCTCTTGCCTAGCTAGGACTTACCTAGCTATGGCTCCTAACTCTACCTACTATTTTCACACTCTTCACTACCTCGTTAGTACTCCAACGATCGGCCTGATCTACTACAAGAACAGAACTATAACGCCCAAGTTAATCGGCTACGTCGATGCCAACCACGCCGGAGATTCTGACAACAGGCGCTCGCGCACAGGCTACATCTACCGTCTCGAGCCTATCGGACCTATCTCGTGGCAGTCGAGTAAACAGGAATTAATCGCTCTCTCCTCAGCCGAAGCAGAATATATCGCACTCTGCTCAGCCACCAAGGAAGGATTGTACCTTCGCGAACTCCTGGAGGAAGCGAAGCTGGCTCAGTTACCCAACTTCTCCCTGTTCTGCGACAACCAGTCGGCAATTCGCATAGCCAACAAAAACGGATTCGCGAACAGGACGAAGCATATCGCCCTGCGATATTTCTTCGTAAAGGACGAGATCGAGAAGGGGAGACTTGAGCTGTCCTACTGCCCCACATCCGAGATCGTAGCTGATTACTTGACCAAGAAGCTCGGAAAGTCGAAGTTCGAATATTGCATGCTGCTGATTGGACAAAGCCACGTCATCAGCAGCGACACTCCAGAAGCGAAGGGGAGTGTTGGAAACAATTGATTTAAAGCGCCTCTGTCGTGTCGAAACACCAAGACAGAAGCGAAGCGAATCATATCGAAGCATCAGCGAGTCAACCCTCGGAGGTTGAACAACTGCTGGAGGTTACGCGAAAGTCAAAGGTCAGCGACCTTTGACCTGACAAATGCAGCGCGACAGCAAGGACAAACAACTGACTCGCTACTGAGCAGTTGCCCGAGTCGACACTGTATCGAACCGCAACAGCAACAGTAAAACGGTTATTAACCGTATCTCTTCATATTCCTTGTATCCTTATAAAAAGCTTGTATCTCTTTGTTTTAATCAATCAACTTTGCCCTCATATACCAGCGCAAGGTGGTTCACAATCCTTTTATTAAACGCTTCCGCTATTACATTGTCATACCCTTGAATTCTGTCCTGCAAAGATCCTAAGGGCCTTTTCAGCCCAACAATGTCGAGGCGGAGGTCCGGAGCGCGGGTTACCAACCGAACTGTGAGGTTGGGTCGCGTCGTGAACAGTGGCGGGAGTCGTAGTCGAGGCGAGTGTCGCGAGCGGGTAACGTTTCACTGTTTGGGTGTCGATGGCGGGAATGGTTTTGTACGCGGTAAGCAGGGGCGCGAAGTAAGGAAGATGAATTTTCCTTAGAACACCCCAGAGTCCCCAACAGAGAAAAAACCAGTCTTCAGAGCCTGCTAAATCCCTAATAACTCTCTCTCTTCTTCCTGCAGCCACACGAGAGCAGCCGAGATTTTTTTATCTAGCAGACCGTGGATCACCCGGGGGAAACCACGGCTGAAAACACTGGAACAATGGTCGTTATGGGGCATAATTGCGTGAATGTTGCCGGCAAGGCGCCGGCAACAAAAATAACTACGCTGGCGCAGCATTTCCACTTGCATTTTGTCGAGGTTCGGAACCTAGGCAGGCGAGTCGAGCCACTTTGTCTAACAGGGCCTATCTTTGTTAGTTGCCTGTCGAACAGGGCCTGCGTTTCTGTGTCTACTCCAACCTTGCCCCTGTCTTTTCAAGGCCCTGCCACTACTTCTAGCGTGCTCGCCGCCGGCCGACTGACTCGTTGCTGCGAGGATCCGCGTGACCAGCCCCCCCTTTCCCGCGCCAGCTGTATTTAGATAGAATAGCCCGCATTGGCTTGGCATGTCACGGCACGCCCCATCGCCCGCGATTCACGCTGGTACTACCCCGTCGCACGTTGCTGTGGGGATGGGCGGGCTGACACGGCTACAGCTCTCCCGTGACTTGCGGCTGCAGCGTGGATCGCGAGGCCTGCGCTCCGCGAGATATGCGGAGCTTGCCACGTCGTTCTTGCCACGTCAGCTCGCTACACCGCTTAGGTGAGTGGATTCCGGCCACAGCCCTCATTCCCACAACCCTAAACACTTCAGCGAAGTTTCTTGCGTAGCTCGCCACGTCATCACTTCAAAGTTTCAGAGTCGTCACGAGTTCGGGTGACTCGCATGATGTGACTTGAGCCCGGGCACTTCCAACCATCACCTTTTTCTACCGAAATTCCGTATACAGGAAAGTGACAGAAAAGTCACAATTACGTCACTTTCGACCCTTCCCTTTTCCTCGATGAACCCACCATGCCTGCGCCAATGTTTCCGCGTGGTCCCCGCCCAGGCGCCTCCCTGCCCCCCTACAGCGCGCACGTTCGTCGCCTTCCGGGGAGCGTTCCGCCGCACGCGCGTGCACACGGGCCGCATGGAGCGTCAGCAGGCAGGCGGACAGACGGATGAGCGTCGCATGCCGCGCAGCAGAGACTGACGACGTGGCGCCTGCTGATTGGGTGAACACGGCAGGGACGCACAAGCGGCCCCAGCAGGTGTTCTACTCCAAAAAGGTGCGCCACGGGCGTTCGATTAGGGTTAAAAAAGGACGTGGGTGGGGGGCGAAGGGAGGAGGTGGGATGGTGAGGGCGATCAGTGTTTCGAGGTGAAGAGGATGGGATGCATGGGATGGGATGCATGGGATGGGATGCATGGGATGGGATGCATGGGATGGGATGCATGGGATGGGATGCATGGGATGGGATGCATGGGATGGGATGAAGGGCGGCTTTTGAGTGGACTTCGTAGTCTCAAACGGTTCGAGTGGAGACGGGGAGTACGATTTCGCACCTGTCCTTATGCGCACCCCACGCACATGGGTGCACTGGTTTCTGCCAATGGCCAATCGTAACATGCATGCACTACTGCACGCCTCCCCTCTCTCGTAACATGCATGCACTACTGCACGCCTCCCCTCTCTCGTAACATGCATGCACTACTGCACGCCTCCCCTCTCTCGTAACATGCATGCACTAATGCACGCCTCCCCTCTCGCGCTGAACACTGCACTACACATTATGCCGCGTGCCGCGTGCCATCCATTGCCTTGTTATGCCGTGTGACCGTGCGTGCTGGTATGACGTGACGTGGCGTGGGCATGGCATGACGTGGCGTGGGCATGGCACGGCATTGGCGTGGCATGACGTTACATGGGCATGACAAGACTTGCAGGGTGAGAAGTTTCTGTTACAAACGGACGAGAGGATGGAGCTGCTGGAGTTACCCAAGGGTACAAGAGTGGTGTACCCTGGGCTGTGCAAGGATGGCGAATCCAACCCCAACAAGGCCAGTGCCACGCCTCACACATTGCACTCCCTACCTCTCGTGCACTGCACCCGCACACACACAACAATGGTTCCTCGCAATTTATTCCGAATCCACTTGTCCTGCCCATGCGCTGTTCTCTGCTGTCCCTCTATCCACCTGCCACGCCTCACATCCTCTCTAATCGCTTCCAGCCGAATGCTTGCCGCCTTCCCAACCGCCCCTGCTTCGCCCCTCACCATCTCTTCTCCTTTGCTGGCCTTCCAACTCTGCTCCCCTCCTTTCCTTCTTCTCTCCCCACTTCCCCCTTCCTTCTCCCTGTCACGTGCGCACGTGCGCATCTCCCCCTTGCATGCACGGCCATGTGTATGTCTGTCTGTGCAGATGCGCGCCATGATACGGCACGCTCTGGACAACCCTGTGGGGCAGCCGCCGCTGAAGGAAAGACTGCAGCAGATCAAGCAGGCCAATCCCAACCCCAAGGTGCGCTGCTGCTGCTGCTGCTGCTGCTGCTGCTGCTCATGCAACCCATTGTCTCTACTGCCGTCTTTTCCAGCTGCCTTTTCTGGCTGACAGGAAAGCACCGTTCTTCTGTCCAACCCCAGTTGCACTCCCTAACCTCTCCATCTCCAATGCCTCCCTGCACTCGGCGCTCATGTCATGTCACCCATGCACAACACCCCACCCCACATCCTCTTCCCAACCATCCCTCACCTCCCCAACCCTCCCTCCCCTCTCTCCCGGGCTCATCCTCCCCTCAACCTCCCCACGCCCCCCCCCCCACCCCCCCCCCCCCCCCCCCCCCCCCCCCCCTCACCCTGGGGCAGGTCCTGATGGCCTTTGACGACGTGAGCGTAGTTTTGAGACGTCTCAAAACCTCCCCACGCCCCCTCCCCCACCCTCCCTCACCCTGGGGCAGGTCCTGATGGCCTTTGACGACGTGAGCGTGCCGCTGCCGCCCATGCGCCGCCCGGATCTACGGCAGCTGATCATGGAAGAAGCGGAGAGCGACTGCGTGGCAGCGGGCATAACAGACATCCGCTTTGTGTGCTCTATCGCTCTGCACCGCTACGTTCGCGCGGACGAGTTCAGGCACATCTGTGGGGGGTATCTGTTCGGCAAGTACTACCCGCACCGCATGGGGAATTACAACGCTGTCGATATGGACGAGACTGTGGACATCGGTGTCACACGGCACGGGGAGGCTGTTCAGGTGAGGGGACTTTTGAGACGTCTCAAAAGAGGAATTACAATGCTGTCGACATGGAAGAGACTGTGGATATCGGTGTCACACGGCACGGGGAGGCTGTTCAGGTGAGGGAAGAGGGGGGGAGCGGAGAGGGGGGGTGTGCAGGAGGTGGGAGAGCGGAGGGATGGTGTCAAGGGTGAGTGTTGTGGGCTGCGGAGCTTGCATTTCCATGGCCACAGCAGTTCATGCGGCGTTCTCGTCAGTACTTGTTATCCATCCGCTGCTGTTGTCGCACTCTTCTCTTCGTTCCCACCACTGTGCTGTGCTGTGCTGTGGTGTGGCATGGCACGGCGGCACGGCATGACGTGGCATGGCAGATCAACCGGCACTTTGCGGAGGCAGATCTGGTGGTGTATGCGAATGTGAACTACGTGAGCATGGACGGCGGGTACAAGTCCTACGCCACTGGCCTGGTAAGCTTGTGGGATGGAGAGGGGGGGCGAGTGGGAGGTGGAGGGAGTGAGGGGATGGAGAGGGGGGGCGAGTGGGAGGTGGAGGGAGTGAGGGGATGGAGAGAGGGAGGGCGGTGAAGGGGATGTTCGGAGTGTCCTGGGTTGGTTTGCGGGTGCGTTTTGAAAGAGCCGCTTTCGTGCACTGGCATGGTGCATTACGTTTGTGCTCTGTCACTTCTGTGTGTGGATATGTGGTTACCTGATTTGTTTCTGTGTGTGTGTGTGTGGATATGTGGTTACCTGATTTGTTTCTGTGTGTGTGTGCGTGGATATGTGGTTACCTGATTTGTTTCTGTGTGTGTGTGTGTGGATATGTGGTTACCTGATTTGTTTCTGTGTGTGTGTGCGTGGATATGTGGTTACCTGATTTGTTTCTGTGTGTGTGTGCGTGGATATGTGGTTACCTGATTTGTTTCTGTGTGTGTGTGCGTGGATATGTGGTTACCTGATTTGTTTCTGTGTGTGTGTGCGTGGATATGTGGTTACCTGATTTGTTTCTGTGTGTGTGTGCGTGGATATGTGGTTACCTGATTTGTTTCTGTGTGTGTGTGCGTGGATATGTGGTTACCTGATTTGTTTCTGTGTGTGTGTGCGTGGATATGTGGTTACCTGATTTGTTTCTGTGTGTGTGTGTGTGGATATGTGGTAACCTGATTTGTTTCTGTGTGTGTGTGCGTGGATATGTGGTTACCTGATTTGTTTCTGTGTGTGTGTGCGTGGATATGTGGTTACCTGATTTGTTTCTGTGTGTGTGTGCGTGGATATGTGGTTACCTGATTTGTTTCTGTGTGTGTGTGCGTGGATATGTGGTTACCTGATTTGTTTCTGTGTGTGTGTGCGTGGATATGTGGTTACCTGATTTGTTTCTGTGTGTGCGTGCGTGCGTGTGCGTGTGTGCATGCGTGCGTGTGTGCATTCAACCGTGCATGCGTGTGTGTGTGCATTCAACCGTGCATGCGTGTGTGTGTGCATTCAAACGTGCATGCGTGGGAGGCGTGCATGAGTATGTGTGCATGCGTGTGTGTGTGCACATGAGTATGTGTGCATGCATGCATGCAGGTGCATTACAACTGTCTGCGCCACAACCATGACTCCAAGACACTGCGCAACACCAGGCATGCCTTGACCTGAGCGGGGGGGGGGGGGGGCAACACAACACCTGTGAACTGCAGAACGTACCTTGAAACCGAAAGATCAGCAAAACTGCTACAAATCAACCCGTAACGTATCCCATGCCGTGTAGCTCTAGTCAGGCATTCCCAGCCACGGGCCGCAGCTTGCATGCTGCTGAGCCCTCACCTCACCTGTGCTGTTTGCGATTCCTGTTGTGTGTGAGCGCGCGCATGGATGGATGGCAGGTCGCTGTTTGACCCGACGCTCCACCAGTCGTTCCACCGCATCGGGCGCATGATGCAGAAGCACACGGACGTCTTCCATGTAGAGACGGTCATTGACGACCAGGTCTGTCCCTACCTGCCTGTCCGCCTGCATGCACCATGCACCACAACGGTCATTGACGACCAGGTCTGCGAGCCCATGCCGCATGCATGGCTGCATGCCCACTTGCTTCCACTCCCACATCCCCACATGCCCCAATGCCCCCATGCCCGCGTGCCCGCGTGCCTGCATGCCTGCACGCCCGCATGAGCACCTGGGTGATCATGCCTACCTACCCGTCCGCCTCCCTGCACCATGCTCCAGGTTCCCTGCATTCTCCTCTCCTGCGTGGCCGCCTGCGCTTCCGCATCTGCTCTCCGTCTCGCCTCAATCACGCCACTGCGCCACTGCTCCCACCCCCTTCTGCCACCATGCTACAGCAACCACCCCGCATTCCTACCCTGCCTCTTCCCCACCCCCCTCCCTCCCCCGGTGCAGCTGTTCCCGTTCTACGTGGACTTTGTGTCGGAGCTAGTGCGCAACATGACCCCGCTGCAGAAGCTCTTGATGCACTCCACCATTCTGCTGCTCAAGGTGCGGCCAAGGGGAGGGGGGGAGAGCGAGGATGTGCGACCAGGGGCGAGCAGGTGAGCAAGGTACGAAAGGGGAGGAAGGTGAGCAAGAGGTGAGGCTTGATTGAGCAAACGGAGAGCCAGCACACCTTTCCTCAGCCTGAATTTCCTTGTCTCTTCTCCTGTGTGCTTTTTTCCTCACCTCCTCCTTTCCTCGCCCCTCCCCTGTCCCTCTCCCTCTCTCCCCCGGCATGCACCAGCTGCTGCCGCTGTGGCTATGCGTCAAGGTTTTCTGGTTCATGCGAGCCCCGTTCGGCCTGCTGCAGGTACGGCAGGGCGGGGGAGGGGAGGGGAGGGGAAGGGGAAGGGGAAGGGGAAGGGGAAGGGGAGGAGGGGGGTAAGCACATTTCTCCTTGTCTTGCAACTTGGCATTCCAGTGTGGCAAACACTGAGTTGTTTCGCTCGCGAGCAGCAGCGCTGGCGGTGGAGCTATTGCTGCGTCGCAATGCTGACTCATGCGGTGCGGTGCGGTGTGGTGCGGTGGTGCAGGTGACAGCAGGGGAGACCGAGGCGGTGCATGAGAAGACACTGGCAACCATCTACCGGGACAAGGTCATGGACTTGCAGGGGCAGGTGAGTTGAGAGCAGGAGACAAGGTCATGGACGTGCAGGGGCAGGTGCGTTGAGAGCAGGAGACAAGGTCATGGACGTGCAGGGGCAGGTGCGTTGAGAGCAGGAGACAAGGTCATGGACGTGCAGGGGCAGGTGCGTTGAGAGCAGGAGACAAGGTCATGGACGTGCAGGGGCAGGTGAGTTGAGAGCAGGAGACAAGGTCATGGACGTGCAGGGGAAGATGCGTTGAGAGCAGGAGACAAGGTCATGGACGTGCAGGGGCAGGTGAGTTGAGAGCAGGAGACAAGGTCATGGACGTGCAGGGGAAGATGCGTTGAGAGCAGGAGACAAGGTCATGGACGTGCAGGGGCAGGTGAGTTGAGAGCAGGAGACAAGGTCATGGACGTGCAGGGGAAGATGCGTTGAGAGCAGGAGACAAGGTCATGGACGTGCAGGGGCAGGTGAGTTGAGAGCAGGAGACAAGGTCATGGACGTGCAGGGGAAGATGCGTTGAGAGCAGGAGACAAGGTCATGGACGTGCAGGGGCAGGTGAGTTGAGAGCAGGAGACAAGGTCATGGACGTGCAGGGGAAGATGCGTTGAGAGCAGGAGACAAGGTCGTGGACGTGCAGGGGAAGATGCGTTGAGAGCAGGAGACAAGGTCGTGGACGTGCAGGGGCAGGTGCGTTGAGAGCAGGAGACAAGGTCATGGACGTGCAGGGGCAGGTGCGTTGAGAGCAGGAGACAAGGTCATGGACGTGCAGGGGCAGGTGAGTTGAGAGCAGGAGACAAGGTCATGGACGTGCAGGGGAAGATGCGTTGAGAGCAGGAGACAAGGTCATGGACGTGCAGGGGCAGGTGAGTTGAGAGCAGGAGACAAGGTCATGGACGTGCAGGGGAAGATGCGTTGAGAGCAGGAGACAAGGTCATGGACGTGCAGGGGCAGGTGAGTTGAGAGCAGGAGACAAGGTCATGGACGTGCAGGGGAAGATGCGTTGAGAGCAGGAGACAAGGTCATGGACGTGCAGGGGCAGGTGAGTTGAGAGCAGGAGACAAGGTCATGGACGTGCAGGGGAAGATGCGTTGAGAGCAGGAGACAAGGTCGTGGACGTGCAGGGGAAGATGCGTTGAGAGCAGGAGACAAGGTCGTGGACGTGCAGGGGCAGGTGCGTTGAGAGCAGGAGACAAGGTCATGGACGTGCAGGGGCAGGTGCGTTGAGAGCAGGAGACAAGGTCATGGACGTGCAGGGGCAGGTGAGTTGAGAGCAGGAGACAAGGTCATGGACGTGCAGGGGAAGATGCGTTGAGAGCAGGAGACAAGGTCATGGACGTGCAGGGGCAGGTGAGTTGAGAGCAGGAGACAAGGTCATGGACGTGCAGGGGAAGATGCGTTGAGAGCAGGAGACAAGGTCATGGACGTGCAGGGGCAGGTGAGTTGAGAGCAGGAGACAAGGTCATGGACGTGCAGGGGAAGATGCGTTGAGAGCAGGAGACAAGGTCATGGACGTGCAGGGGCAGGTGAGTTGAGAGCAGGAGACAAGGTCATGGACGTGCAGGGGAAGATGCGTTGAGAGCAGGAGACAAGGTCATGGACGTGCAGGGGCAGGTGAGTTGAGAGCAGGAGACAAGGTCATGGACGTGCAGGGGAAGATGCGTTGAGAGCAGGAGACAAGGTCGTGGACGTGCAGGGGAAGATGCGTTGAGAGCAGGAGACAAGGTCGTGGACGTGCAGGGGAAGATGCGTTGAGAGCAGGAGACAAGGTCATGGACGTGCAGGGGAAGATGCGTTGAGAGCAGGAGACAAGGTCGTGGACGTGCAGGGGAAGATGCGTTGAGAGCAGGAGACAAGGTCATGGACGTGCAGGGGAAGATGCGTTGAGAGCAGGAGACAAGGTCATGGACGTGCAGGGGAAGATGCGTTGAGAGCAGGAGACAAGGTCGTGGACGTGCAAGGGAAGATGCGTTGAGAGCAGGAGACAAGGTCATGGACGTGCAGGGGAAGATGCGTTGAGAGCAGGAGACAAGGTCGTGGACGTGCAGGGGAAGATGCGTTGAGAGCAGGAGACAAGGTCATGGACGTGCAGGGGAAGATGCGTTGAGAGCAGGAGACAAGGTCATGGACGTGCAGGGGAAGATGCGTTGAGAGCAGGAGACAAGGTCGTGGACGTGCAAGGGAAGATGCGTTGAGAGCAGGAGACAAGGTCGTGGACGTGCAAGGGAAGATGCGTTGAGAGCAGGAGACAAGGTCATGGACGTGCAGGGGAAGATGCGTTGAGAGCAGGAGACAAGGTCATGGACGTGCAGGGGAAGATGCGTTGAGAGCAGGAGACAAGGTCATGGACGTGCAGGGGAAGATGCGTTGAGAGCAGGAGACAAGGTCATGGACGTGCAGGGGAAGATGCGTTGAGAGCAGGAGACAAGGTCATGGACGTGCAGGGGAAGATGCGTTGAGAGCAGGAGACAAGGTCGTGGACGTGCAAGGGAAGATGCGTTGAGAGCAGGAGACAAGGTCATGGACGTGCAGGGGAAGATGCGTGGAGAGCAGGAGACAAGGTCATGGACGTGCAGGGGAAGATGCGTTGAGAGCAGGAGACAAGGTCATGGACGTGCAGGGGAAGATGCGTTGAGAGCAGGAGACAAGGTCATGGACGTGCAGGGGAAGATGCGTTGAGAGCAGGAGACAAGGTCATGGACGTGCAGGGGAAGATGCGTTGAGAGCAGGAGACAAGGTCATGGACGTGCAGGGGCAGGTGCGTTGAGAGCAGGAGACAAGGTCATGGACGTGCAGGGGAAGATGCGTTGAGAGCAGGAGACAAGGTCATGGACGTGCAGGGGCAGGTGCGTTGAGAGCAGGAGACAAGGTCATGGACGTGCAGGGGAAGATGCGTTGAGAGCAGGAGACAAGGTCATGGACGTGCAGGGGAAGATGCGTTGAGAGCAGGAGACAAGGTCGTGGACGTGCAGGGGAAGATGCGTTGAGAGCAGGAGACAAGGTCATGGACGTGCAGGGGAAGATGCGTTGAGAGCAGGAGACAAGGTCATGGACGTGCAGGGGCAGGTGCGTTGAGAGCAGGAGACAAGGTCATGGACGTGCAGGGGAAGATGCGTTGAGAGCAGGAGACAAGGTCGTGGACGTGCAGGGGAAGATGCGTTGAGAGCAGGAGACAAGGTCATGGACGTGCAGGGGAAGATGCGTTGAGAGCAGGAGACAAGGTCATGGACGTGCAGGGGAAGATGCGTTGAGAGCAGGAGACAAGGTCATGGACGTGCAGGGGCAGGTGCGTTGAGAGCAGGAGACAAGGTCATGGACGTGCAGGGGAAGATGCGTTGAGAGCAGGAGACAAGGTCATGGACGTGCAGGGGCAGGTGCGTTGAGAGCAGGAGACAAGGTCGTGGACGTGCAAGGGAAGATGCGTTGAGAGCAGGAGACAAGGTCATGGACGTGCAGGGGAAGATGCGTTGAGAGCAGGAGACAAGGTCATGGACGTGCAGGGGAAGATGCGTTGAGAGCAGGAGACAAGGTCATGGACGTGCAGGGGAAGATGCGTTGAGAGCAGGAGACAAGGTCATGGACGTGCAGGGGAAGATGCGTTGAGAGCAGGAGACAAGGTCATGGACGTGCAGGGGAAGATGCGTTGAGAGCAGGAGACAAGGTCATGGACGTGCAGGGGCAGGTGCGTTGAGAGCAGGAGACAAGGTCGTGGACGTGCAGGGGAAGATGCGTTGAGAGCAGGAGACAAGGTCATGGACGTGCAGGGGAAGATGCGTTGAGAGCAGGAGACAAGGTCATGGACGTGCAGGGGAAGATGCGTTGAGAGCAGGAGACAAGGTCATGGACGTGCAGGGGAAGATGCGTTGAGAGCAGGAGACAAGGTCATGGACGTGCAGGGGCAGGTGCGTTGAGAGCAGGAGACAAGGTCATGGACGTGCAGGGGAAGATGCGTTGAGAGCAGGAGACAAGGTCATGGACGTGCAGGGGCAGGTGCGTTGAGAGCAGGAGACAAGGTCATGGACGTGCAGGGGTAAGTGCGTTGAGAGCAGAGCAGGGCGTGCCAAGAGATGGAAGCATGAGAGCGGTGTGTTGTGTTGAGCGATTCTTTTAGAGAGGGCTACATTGACTATAAGCAGCATGTCAAGCCTTATGGTGCTTCTGAAACACTATTCCATTCATCATATCTTAGACTTGGTCTGCCTTGCCCTTGACGTTCTCTTCCCATTACCACAGAGACATAGACACCCTTGGTGTTTGATGCACGCCCTTCTGCATTCCCCTCACTTCCTTCTCTCCCCACCCCACCGCGTGCCCTGCTGCCCTGCTGCCCCCAGGCGGACATCCTCATTCTGGCGCCCAGTGCGTTGGGGCCCTACACCAAAGACATGTACCTCAACCCCCTCCTCGTGCGTATGAAATGAGCCGTGTTTTGATTCGACTCAAACTCAGCCGTGTTTTTTTAGTCGACTCAAGGCTCAGTGCGTTGGGGCGCTACACCAAGGACATGTACCTCTCAATCCCCTCCTCGTGCGCATACCTGTGCTTCACTGCACCGCACCTCACCACGTCGCACCGCAATGCACTCTCTCCGCTCAAGCGCCCTGTGCTGCTCGGATACGCTCTCTTCAGTGCTGCTAGCCCTTGTATGAAGCTTGATCAAGGTGCTGTGGATGCATGGGCAACTGCACAGGCGCATGCCCATGTGTGTTCACACAACCCATTGACCCCTTGTTTTCCTTGCCATGTCTTGCTATGCCTGTGCATGCCGTTTGCTGCACCCATCATCCGTCCCCATCCATGCTCTTCTCAGCCGTTCTGCACTCTAACCGCCCCGCGTGCCCCATGGTTGTATGAACACATGCAGGTGAACACATACGCACTGGGGTACTATTACAACATGTGAGTCGCAGTGTCGCACCACTGTGCACACTCATCATACCTGACGGGTGTAGATGCTGTGCCCAATGCCTCCGCACGGGTATGTTGTTTCATGCCATTGCATGCCAACTTAAGACTGCCTGTTTTACAAATATTCCCTCCACTTCTTTTCCACCTTCCGTACCCCACTTATGCTCCCTCTCTCCCGTCCCGTGCAAACCCCCCCAAATCTCCCACCCCTCCTTCTCCCCCTCCTCCCTCCCCCAGGTATGTGGATGGCGTGCCTCTACTCAAGGAGGGCGGCTGTGTGGTGAGAGCCCATTCCATGAAATGACATGCCATCCTATGCTACGTCATGCCATGATGCCATGACACGCCATGCGTCATGCCGTGATGCCATGACACGCCTCGCGTCATGCCATGATGCCATGACACGCCATGCGTCATGCCGTACCATACCATGTGATGCCATGCCATCCATTCGATTGGATGAGCGCACACACAGCACTCACACTGTGCCCATGCTCACTTCGCTACACCCGCCTGTGACACCTCTCCTCTCCAGACATCCGTCCTGTCCCTGCATTCATCCACTCCACTCCACTCCACTCAACTCGACTCCACTCCACTCCTCTCCGCCCCACCACGGGTGCCACCACAGATAATGGTGAGCGAGATGAACTACGAGTGGTCATCGCCCGCACACGACGCGTACCGGCGGCTCTTTGAGGAGGTGCTGGCAGTGGCGCCAGGACTAGACGAGTTTGAGCGCCACCAGCAGCAGTTCGTGCAGGACGAGCAGCTGAATGACATCTACCGCCAGGGCCTGGGGCCCGCTGCCGTGCATGGCTTCTACATGTACACGTGGGCCGCTCATGGCATGGATAAGGTGCGTGCTGTGGGTGTTTGGTGTGGGGTATGTATGGGGTACGGGGCATGGGGCGTATGGTTTGAAACATGCCCTGCTGCTGTGGCGTTTGGTTCTTGTGGCCGGCTTCTACATGTACACGTGGGCCGCTCATGGCATGGATAAGGTGTGTGCTGTGGGGGGTGTGGGCCACGTGGGTGATGGGGTGCTGGGCATGTGACCATACAGTAGGATGTCTGGTGGCATTGTTGGCGCTTCTGCTTATGATCATGCTGTCGTAGCCTCTCTCGTTCTCGCACCTTTGCGGCCCCTCTGTTTCCCCCTTCTCCCCCTGCTCCCACTCCGCCTTCCCCCCTGCGCCCGGGCAGGTGGGCAAGGTGTATGTGGTGGGTGCCGTGGACCCGCGGGGGCCGGCGGTGCTGCGGTGGGAGATGGCGGACAGCATACAGGACGCTGTTGACCAGGTGATTACCAACTGGCACAAAAGGTTGACTTTTGAGTCAACTCAAAAGTCAACGTTGTGGGAGATGGCGGACAGCATACAGGACGCTGTGGAACAGGTGACAGCACCTGCCCATGCTCCTGAGGTGCACATACATACATACCCATACCCCTGCCCATGCCCATGCCTTTGCAATGTCCATCTTTGCCTTACACGGTGTCATCCAAGCCTGTCATGCCAAGCCTCACACGACTTTGCAATGTCCATCTTTGCCTCACACATCATTGCCTGTCTCAACTCCCCGGTCCTTCCTCCCTACATGCCTCTGTCCCGTTCACTCTCCCCCCAGGCGCGCTTGTTCCTGGGCAACAGCAAGGCGGAGGTGACGTATCTGAGGTGCCCGCCGGTGGGGTATGTGCGCGTGCACACGGAGGGGCAGGGGGAGGGCAGTGCTGCCGAGCAGGTGCAAGGGGAGGCAGCGCAGGCAGTGGGCAAACACCAGTGATGCTGCTGTGTGGAATCCGCCCCACCCTGTTGTGTCACACTGTCACACTGTCACACTGTCACACTGTCACACTGTCACACTGTCATGCTGTCACACTGTCACACTGTCACACTGTCACACTGTCACACTGTCACACTGTCACACTGTCACACTGTCACACTATCACGCTGTCATACTGTCACACTGTCAAACTATCACGCTGTCACACTGTCACACTGTCACACTGTCACACTATCATGCTGTCACACTGTCACGCTGTCACACTGTCACACTATCACGCTGTCACACTGTCACACTGTCACACTGCCCATCAACCTCCCTGCAAGAGACTCAGCTGCTGCACATGCAGCGCGGTTGCACATGCAGTGCGGTTCGGTGTGGTGCGGTACGATTTCCATGCTAGTTGTGTGAAGCATTTCACAAGAGCTTAACTGTGGTCCTGGAATATGAAGGGTGCCATGTAGAAAGCGTTATGTGCCGGGTATGTGTGCTCAGCGAAAGCTTATGACCTGGAATAGCGTGGGCACAATGATACATCGTCAAGCAGGCAGTCTGAGGGTATGCGGTAACAGCAGTCTGGCTGACCCACCCAAAACTGACTACAAAGACGCTAGGAACACAGTCTTGGACCCATTGCGCAACCGAGGTGGCTCACAAAGATCTCAACCCAACCGCCTGTCACCACAAGCCCTGACACAAACATCCACATGACACTTCGGAAGGGGGTGTGGGGGGGGCCCAAGAGGTGGGGGAAAGGGGGGGGGGGGGGGGGGGGGGGTGGGTATGGGGTGGGGGAGGGCGTTGAAAGGACGGGAGGGACTTGGCAAGGGCTCACCAGTTGTTGCGGGAAAGGTCGCCGGTGTTCCAGGATTGATAGCCCCACACGTGCGACGCTGAGTTGACTAGCCCAGTGATATGCAGCACCACCACAGAGCGCACGCCCTGAGAAAGACAGACATACATGGAATAAACAACAGAAAGAAGCGCACACCCGTTATTATCACGACGGCGGCATTTCCACCATGAATTGCCTTTGAAAGAAGACGAAGAGGAAAGAAATCCTGGAATTGCATTTGGAATACACGCGGTTGAACGAAAGTTGCACAAGCTATGGAGCACGTACGAATCCCCAGACGACCCAGGGGAAGCCTCCGAGGGCGTAGAGCAGCGCCACGGACGTGACAGTGTGCCAGTGGTAGGTGGCCTCGATGAAATCGTAGAAGGGGTCGTTCTCCATGTCCGCGATATTGTCGCGCTCGCCCACCTGGAGTTTCACGTGGAACAGTACGGTACAGTGCAGAAAAAATGTTTTGAGCTTGGTGGGACGGGAAGAGTCGTCCCTCACTCGCAAATCCTGTTACATTGAACGTCCATTTTCCGTTCCAGTTTCAACTGCTTCCACGTTTATCGTGCGATAGCACACAGGTGAGCTATGACCCAGGGCGCACTTGACATTCATCTTACCCGTGCTTGCGTGGCGACGTCGTCGAAAACCCATCCCATGTGGCTGTGCCAGAATCCGTCGCACGGCGAGTGCGGGTCGCCGGGCGTATCGACGAAACGATGGTGGTAACGATGCGCGCTCACCCACTCCTTCGGGTGGCCCTGCAGGAAGCGACGGAAAGGACACAGAATGGTGATTGTACGGGGATGGAAAGGGATAGAGTAAGTTTGAAAAGAACACACATGTGCGTCACAGGAAAAGGGAATCTGGACATGTGCGAACACAGCTGAGTGAACAAGACGAACATCTCGAAATCCCAATGATCAACGATCAACGAGCGCGAGCAACGAGAGGTGAGAAACGGCGGCGTACCTGAATGGCAAGACACCCGAGGTAGGCGAAGGTGTACTCGAGCCACTTGGGAAGCGTGAACGAACGATGCGCCAGGTTGCGGTGGTATGACAGGGTGATCCCAAACAAGCCTGGACGGTAGAGCATCAAACGAACCGTAAAGAAAATGAGCATCAACGCTCGATAACAATCGAAAATTCACGGTTTTGGAGAAAAAAATGAAAAAAAAAAGAGAAGGTTCACGAAGAGAAACGCACCTGTGATCACGTAAAGGCTGACGAAGAAGCCAAAGTTTTCCCAGGAGAATGTGGCTGGAGCGAAGAGGCACAAGCCATGGTACAAGGCCAAGTTCACGATGTAGTTCCAGTCCTTGGCCGTGTATTCCCGGTTGAAGAAATACGGCCGCTTCTGCTGCACGACCACGTCCGAGAACCACACTTGCCATGAGTCAAACGGGGACGGCTCCACCGTGGATTCCTTGGGAGGAGCCTCCGCGGCGCACGAGATTTGTCGCCTTTGTGACTGCAGGCCGACGGTCGGCTCCGAAGCCGCAGCGGGTTTAAAAGATCGGATGAATGGAGTGGATAGGGACGGCGATCTCGGGGAGGCTCGTAGTTTAGACGACGCGAGTGGTGTGAGGGCTCTGGCTCCCGCCGCAACAGCGCGCGCGGGAGTTCTCTCGATATCCGACCCTCGGGTTAGGAAGACCCCTGACGGGAGGACGGCCGCCGAAGTGGTCGCCATGGTTCTGCCTTCTGTGTGGTTTATCGGGAAAGAAATAGCCCGATGGGAGGGCTTTCTGCAAGGGTGTGACTTTAGAGAGCCCTATGAGCTCAAATCTCACACAGGACACAATAAGCTGATACATGGGTCCAGCAAGGAGTTAAATTTAGGGCCCTGTTCTGCAGGCTAGGCGAGGGCAAGAACCAGGAAGAAAAATCCTCGCCGGCAGGTCTCCTCATCTGCGAACAGGAGTGGGGTGGGGCTTGGGTTGCTCATTCTCGCATGCGGGGTTTGCCCTATCGGAGCTCAGCTCGGCAGTAATTCCGGTGGTTGTGTGGTTTGACGGAGGCTTGGCTTAGAGCATCGGAACGGAATTATCGAGGGATTACTGAGACAGATTTGCGTGCGTCAGGGAGCTCCCCTCAAGATTCCATCCGAACCTGCGGACGAAACACGGGGATGTCCCACAGTTGCATCAACGACATCTGGCCGTTCACTGTGCTGACTGAAACCGTCGATCACAGCGCGGCAACTTTGCCGGCTCAGCGCGGACCAATGACGTTGTTACACGCGATGCCAAACCTAGGCACATATCTGCCTATCAGCTGCACGACGCCGTCCCTTTTATGTGTAGGGACGGCCAGCCCGCATGGCTGGTTTGCTTTGCACTGTGGGAGATACAGTACTTCTGAAAGTGCAACGCGAGGGTCTAGGAGGGTGACTAGTATGGTTGACATGGTTTGCCAAACTGCCACACATCACGTATGGGTGACTAGAGATTCAGGAATATTTATCTCACGCACGGTTTTGTTCGTGTTACTGCAAACCACTGTTATAACCGAAATTAGTTAGCAACCAATTCTGAAAACCTGTTCATGCAAGTTACTGTGTCTTCCACCCCTCACGAGACATGTCTTCAAATGAAAATACCATTATATAGGGTTGCTACGCAACCCAAAAACTTCCCTCGATCGCAATCCGCATCTCTCTTTCCCCATCCCCACCTGAATGAAGGTCAGGTGGCAAACCTGGCAACTGCACAGCATTTTGATTACTAGGTCCATGGGCAATTTGATTATTTTCCAACAGTTCAAATTATTCTTCTTGTACAGTATAAGCAATTGTGCTGAGTCATTTCGCTCCTGGTAGTATGCTCCTGTTTTATTTTACCATTCCTCCGATAATCGAGCAACTCCTTATCGAGTTAGTCAATTCCCTCGCTTCAAAATTCACTCCCACCCCCATGACTCCTGTCCACGTGGCCTTCCATCCTCGAGCCACATGTTCCTCTAGCGCGCCATTCAACTAACACAGTATAATTGAGCTGAATTACGTAGTATCTGCACGGTGTCGCATCGCACCGCATCGCATCGCAGAGCATCGCGCGGTGTCGTCGCCATGGCTGCCATCGCGACCAGGGGTCTCTTCTCTTCGACCTTGCTCCTCGGACACCCAACCCGCACTCGAACGCCACGTGGCATCTCTATCAACGGTCCAGATTCAGCCAATTGTGGGCGCTCCCGCAGCATTTCCCGCCAAAAAAATCTGAGTCGTCACGGCATTTCCCAAGTACCCGCTCCGCGTGTCGGTCACGTGACTGTAGCCGCCGCTACAACCTCGCCGTCCCAAGATACCACCGCCCCTGGTCAATCCCTCCCCGACCGCCGCGTGTCCGGCTCCAATTGGTCCCAAAACCGCGGGAGCAGCGCAGGGGGGAGCAGCAGCAGCAGCAGAACCGAAGAGATCACCAGCGTTGTACGCGATATAAACGATTCGTCACGCAGATACGACTCGTCGCTGGAGTACCTACAGGAGCAGGACTCCTTCTCGCGCTACTCGGGCTATATTGCGCGGGCGGCGGGGCCGGGGGGCGACGAGTGGGCGGAGTACGATGCGCGCGCCATGGCGGAGTACTTCCGCGCGCGTCCGTTGCTGGTGGCGCGGCGGCTGGCGCAGATCGGCGCGGTGGTGGGCGGGTGGGCGGGGAAGCGGTGGGCGGACGCGAAGCTGGGGCGCGCGGAGGAGACCTTTCAGGAGCGCGCAGGGGAGCTGCGCCAGGCGCTCGTGCTGCTGGGGCCGGTGAGAAGGGGGGGGATGAGGGATTGGAGAGAGTGAGGGGCTTCAAGTGGTGCTTCTGGGGACGGTGAGCGCTGTGGAGTGGGGGAGCTGGTGAGAGGGTGAGGGGCTGGTGAGCGGGGTGAGGGGGGGTAGGTGAGAGGGTGAGGTGTGTTGTCAATGAGAGGTGCTGCTGGGCCTGGTGAGAAGGGGTGCGAGTGAGTGAAGGCAGGTGCGAGGCGCCATTCACGTGCCTTTCTCCATTCCCTTTCACACTTGTTATCACCCACTCACTGCATATCAAGCACCTAAGAAAAGGGCGCCTGCACCTCTTATCCTCTCCTCGCCTTCCACCCCTGCCCGTGTTCCCCTGCCTGCCCTCACCCCCTTTGCCTCCATCACCTTCACGTGCACCCCTCAGGCCTTTGTGAAGATCGCCCAGGCTGTCTCTTCTCGCCCGGTACGTGCCCTTGTGCTGTGCTGTCAGACATGTCAACATGTCGACATGTCAACATGTGAACGTGCCCACATGTCAACGTGCCCACATGTCAACGTGCCCACATGTCAACGTGCCCACATGTCAACGTGCCCACATGTCAACGTGCCCACATGTCAACGTGCCCACATGCAGGCATGCCGGTGCACACTGCATCTGTTCTGTCACCTATTCTTCCTTCCAATGGCCGTGCTGCGGCCCATGTGTGTGAACCCCACCTCCTCTGAACCATGGCATGAATGTCTCGAGCACCACTCCAACCCACCACTCTAACCCACCACTCTAACCCACCACTCTAACCCACCACTCTAACCCACCACTCTAACCCACCACTCTAACCCACCACTCTAACCCACCACTCTAACCCACCACCATAACCCATTCCACCATAACCCACCACTCTAACCCACCACCATAACCCATTCCACCATAACCCACCACTCTAACCCACCACCATAACCCATTCCAACATGCCACTCTCCCTCTGCCTCCCCGAATGCCCCCACTGGGCCCCATTTTGAGGCGCCTAACAAGCAAACGATCCCCCGCCTGCCCAACGCCCCAGCTGTCTGATCAGGACGTGATCTCACCAGCCTACGCGGATGAGCTGTCGCTACTGCAAGACCGCATAGCGCACTTCCTTGAGGCGCCTCACAATCACCCTCCCACCCCACCCCACCCCACCCAACCCACGCCCCACGCCCCCACTGCGCAACAACCCCCCCCTCCCATCAGGATGTGATCCCTCCGGAGTATGTGGACGAGCTCTCCCTGCTGCAGGACCGCATAGCGCCCTTCCTTGTTGTGTTGTGCCAACAAGGAAGGGCGCCATACTGCTCCGGAGTATGTGGAAGAGCCCTCCCTTACACACTTTAACTCCCCTACTGCCCCCCAATCCTCCCCCCTCCCAATCAGGACGTGATCCCTCCGGAGTATGTGGACGAGCTGTCGCTGCTGCAGGACCGCATAGCGCTCTTCCCCACGCGCACCGCATTGGACCTTATCGAGGCGGAGCTGGGGGTGCCTGTCGACCTGCTCTTTGATCAGATCTCGCCCTCCCCTGTTGCTGCTGCATCTCTCGGGCAGGTGGGTAATGACTGGGGCAGGTGGTGACTGGGGCAGGTGGTGACTGGGGCAGGTGGTGACTGGGGCGCATGATAATTGGGGCGGGAAAAAGCTTGCTTTGCCTTTTCCGGCGTGCTTTGCCTTTTCCGGCGTGCTTTGCCTTTTCCGGCGTGCTTTGCCTTTTCCGGCGTGCTTTTCCTTTTCCGGCGTGCTTTTTTTTTCCCAGCCAATTCTTTCCTGCCGCGCTTGCTGCTGACCATCCCTTACTCTTCCGTTTCCCTCGCAGGGCCCGCTCAAAGCACCGCACCACCTCCATCGATGGTCATTTGCCTTCTCTCATCCCGCCTACCTGTCACACGCCCTTCCGCTGTACTCCCCCCACCCTTCCCCCACCTCAGGTGTACGAGGCGAGGCTGAGGGCGGGGGGCCAGCGGGTGGCAGTGAAGGTGCAGCGCCTGGGAGTGCAGGTGCTCTATTCTCCCTCACTTGCCGTCTCTTATTCTGCCTACCTCACACACATCTTCTCCTCCCCACTATATCCCCTCCCCCCACAGGTGTACGAGGCGAGGCTGAGAGCGGGGGGGCAGCGAGTGGCAGTGAAGGTGCAGCGCCCGGGAGTGCGGGCAGCCATCGCGTTGGACATATTCATTCTGCGCGTCTTTGCGGGCTGGTTGAGGCAGTACCGCAAGTTAAACACGGACCTGCAGGCTGTTGTGGACGAGTGGGCTACCAGCCTGTTCAGGGTATAGGTGTGGTGGGGTGGGATGGGTTGGGTTGGGGCGGCCATCGCGTTGGACATCTTCATTCTGTGCCTCTTTGCTGGTTGGCTCAGGCAGTGCTGCAAGTTAAACACGGACCTTCAAGCAGTGGTCGACGAGTGGGCCACGAGCCTCTTTAGGGTAGGGCTGCGGTGTGGTGTGGTGTGGTGCGGTGGGTTGTGAATGTATTTGATTTCCATCTGACAGAGGTCGAGGCGAGGCACTCGACTCACAAGCTCTGACTTCTGATACCGCAAGCAAGCAATGTCGGTTCTCACTTTTCCTTGCCCTGATTTGCCCTGAGTTGCTCTGCTCACTTTTGAGACGTCTCAAAAGTCGGTTCTCACTTTCCCCTGCCCTGATTTGCGCTGATTTGCTCTGCTCACTGCTGGGCTGCGATGGCAGGAGATGGACTATGAGCAGGAGGCACAAAACGGTATTAAATTCGCGTAAGTCTCATCTCACTCACCCCGTGCTCTCAACCACTGAGTTTTCTCACCTCATCTAGTAGTGTCTGTATGTGCCATGGCCTCACCACTCTTGTGCCTTTTTGCGAACTTCTTCTCATCCGCTCCCCACTCCACACCAAACCCACACCCATTCCCCAGTGAGCTATTTGGGAGGATAGACAGGGTGGTGGTGCCGCG